GGGGCTCAGTGGTCAAGTGCCCCTGAGTTCAATCCCCAGTACCAACAACAAACAAATAACAACAAAAATCTGTGGCTCAGCAGAGGGCCCTTCCTATATTCCAGGCACTGTGCATATAGCCTTATATGGTTTATCTCATTTATTCTCAAAATAGACCTTCTATGACCCTCATTTTACAAAGGGGAATCTTGGGTCTGGGGTCCAGATACTGTGCCCAAGATCGCATAGCTCAAAAGGGACAGGGTGGGGTTCAACTACAGATCTGCTGGTGTGTCGGTGGCACCCTCAGCTTCCACATGCAATCACACAGAACAAGCCAGGAACTTCTCAGTATGTGAACATCCTACAAAACTGAGGAATTCTTCAGGTTCAAGTCCCAGGAGAAAAGCAACTCAGTCAAAAGTTATAAACTTCTGAAACTCTTAATGTGTTTCCAAATTGCCTTCCAGCAACACGTACCAGTCTTCAGTTCCACTAGCATGACAGGAAGATTCCCATTTTATTCCAGAAAGTCAAGTTTTGGGGAATATTGCTGAGAAAGCTCTGTCAATGTGGGAGAAAGCCCTGAGGGATTCTTGAACCAGTGTTATGGGCAGGCTATGGGCAACGACCAAACAGACTCCATTTTACCCTGAGACTCCACGTCATATAAGAAATCCTTCTCCCATGGGAACACCCCCACCCCGTACCTATCAGTAGTTGCTTAGGATAGCAGGTTTGGCTACACAAAAGGGCAATTCTTAAACAATGTAAAATTGTTCTCTTTGGTTCCCATTTTTCTTGGACAATGTACCTTTTTCAGAGGATGATTGTCTAGATGTTAGTAATCATTCTTTAACTTGTATTCAACTGGGGTCATTTTGATCCACTTCCCTTCTGCTTATGAACACGGAGATTCCCAGAATGAAAATATGATTATGGGCATCGTGTTGCCTCGATAACTGCTCAATCCAGCTTCGGTACCTGCTTGCATGCAGCTACATCAACCCAGATGTGGTTTTTGCCTTTAAGTACCTTGAAAGGCTCAGGCTCAGGGCTGCAGAGACAGTTTTGGGTTCTACGGGGAGCAGTTGCTAGCCGGCTAATAAAGACCCCCCAATTCAGAGTGTTTGGAGAGGTCTGCCCCAGTGTTAGCACAGCTGCAGCCATCTTCCTTCCCCACCCCACTTTATGACAAAGTGGCTCCAGGTAAGACCTACCCGCCTGCAGCCTAGACACACGCTGGTCTCTCCTGGTCTCACTGAGAGATAGGAGACAACCTACTGGCCCTGAGACAGGGACACACTGGTTCCCTGTTCTCTCCTTGAGAAGATAAGGGACCTGCTGGTTTTCCTGCTCCCCTCTGAGACAGGAAGGTGCCTGTCTCTGTTCCCAGGAAACAAGCCCAGGGATGCTCACTAAAGCCAGTCAGGACAAACCCGCCCCTGCGCACGGCCAGGACTGCAGCCTGTAAAAGGCCACGTTCAAGAGGAGTGGCTGCGCTCTCCCTGCTGCTCTGCTGTCCCTCTCTTGGTGCAGAGCAGCTTGTCAGGCCCCTGACAATAACCGGCTTCCTATCCCAGGTGTGTGTGATCAGTCCTGCGCCACTTTTCTTTCACTCATAACACCACAGGAAACAAATTCTTGGATTTTCCGAGGGCAAATGTGCTGATGAAGTTGAAAATAATGGTTTCAGGAAGACTAAGGTGTTTAAGAGGCCAGGCCCGATGGCGCACACTGTAACCTCTGCAGCTTGGGAGGCTGAAGCAGGAGGATTGCAAGGTGGAGGCCACCCTGGGCAATTTAGTGAGACCCTGTCTCAAGATTTAAAAAAAAAAAAAAAAAAAAAAAAAAGGCTGGGGAGCTGGGCTCAGTGGTGCATGCTTATAATCCCAGTGGCTCAGGAGACTGAGACAGGAGGATCACAGGTTCAAAGCCAGCCTCAGCAATGGTGTAGCACTAAGCAACTTGGTGAGACCCTGTCTCTAAATAAAATACAAAATAGGACTGGGGATGTGGCTCAGTGTTCAAGTGCCTGAGTTCAATCCCTGGTATTCCCCCCCAAAAAATAGGGGTAGGGATATAGTTCAGTAGTATAGTACCCATTGGTTCTACCCCCAGTGCCAAAAAAGAGGTGAAGAAATGAAGGATAGGAATCTGCAGCCAGGGAGAGAATTCAGAGCTGACTCTCCTGAGAACCTGTCATTGGGAAGTCGAGGTGAGTCAGAATGGAGTGGCCTTTGAGGGCCCATTTGGGGCCAGAGTTAGAATGTCACTATGGACGTTGCCATCACAGGCTCAGTCAGGTGGAGAGACGTGAGAGAGCAGGGTGCTGACTCCATCATGGTGGCGGAGAGGGTCCAGTAGCCTGGCTGGTGATGGCAAGCAGCACAATAGTGAATATCTCCATCTGCCAGGGGCAAGTAGATGCCAAGTGACAGGAAATGAAAGAGCTGAAGATGTCCCCCCCCCCCTCTTTTGAGCAGCACAGGAAGTGGTGACCACAGAGATGGCCCTGTGTGACCGGCCAGGGGGCCAAGCAAAGACTTAGTGCTGACTGGATCAGTTGAGGACCCTCCCTAGTGGCGCTGGGAGCTCTGATGAGGGAGATGCTTAGAGACCCCTGCCCGGGCTCAGCTCTAAACTACTCCTCTTGCAGCAGGAGGGGACAGATGGACTCGGGTCAGAACCAAAGGGCAAGGGTACACTTGCTCAGAAGGGACCAACTGCTCAGACATCCAGCCAAGACCTGCACAAGCCCACGAGCCACACAGACCAGACTGTGGCCCAGTAGGCACAACGCCACCAGAAAGCACAGTTGTCACAAGACCCCAAGTCCCTGGGGAAGCAGGACATTAAGACCTGCACCCACCAACATAAGCTTGGTAAGACCAGTTCCAGTTAGGACCTGTGGGTGGGCCAGGATGACAGGATGCTCATCAGCACAGCACCATGACGTCAGAGGAACTGTAGCTCTTCTCCCCAGCGGTTGTGCCTAGATACCTGTGGACAGAAGCATGCGCAGCAGAGGTTTGCCAACCTGACGGACTGTCCATCCAGAGCCGGAAGGTCTTTGCCATACTTTTACTACACTTTGTGCCTTGCTTGTCTTTTGTGAGAACACCAGCTGAGAAGATAACTCCAATCTCTGGTGACAATAGGAAGTCATTCCAGTTGTCCAAGAAGATAGGGAAAGTTGCTTGGCCCATGTGGGTGATGAAAATGGGGAGAGAGGCTGGTTTGGGGAGTATTTCGGAAGAGGAATTGGAATGGGTTCAGGACCAGCTAGCAGGCCACTGTGAGAGGAAGGGTTGACTCAGGGTGGAGAAGGGCTTGGATTTGGTGTGTGACCCCCCGCACGTGGTCCTCAATCCAGGTCTCATTTCCCAAGGGTCCCAGCACCTTCAGCTGACCTGTCCCTGAGTTCTCGGGCTTCCCTCAGTGATGTGCCTCCTCTTCCCCTCTCTGGTGACAGGTGCTCCTGGCGCTCCAATCCTCTGCCATGCCAAGCAGCCTTGGACAAACAGCTCTCTACAAGTCTGTTTGGATGTGTGTGAGGGTCTTCCTGGTTGTGGAGGGGAGTGGCCCATGATATGCTCCTGTAGTGGCACCCCCTCCTCCACAGCAAATCTTAACTAAGCTTCTCCGGAAATCTTCACCATAATTGATTTAGGACTATCAACAGCAGAGTCTCTATAGAAGAGTTCAATGCAGGTAAACTTCCTATTTTCCTGTTGCTGTGTTTTCCAGGCTTCCTAGCCTGGAAGAAATCAGCACTCCAGGTGATTAACACCCCTTTACTAGTTTTTCACAAACATTTATCCAGAATAGTAGTTTGTAGAAGTGTGCTTGCAAATGCAAAGATTAAAAAAAAAAATAAAAAAAAAAAAGACAGACCCTTTAACAAGGCCTCTGGTCTTGAGCTGGGCTTCACAGAGATGTTGACATTTCTAAGAGAAGTTACCAACTGGGCTCTGTGGTAACAGCTGGCAGGGGAGGAATGAAAGGGGAGAAGCTCCCCCCTTCTCAGGTGCTGCTCTTGAAGGGTTAACTTGCCCAGAACAGCGAAAGAAAAGCTGCTTTTATGTGAACTTCTGAGCCCCTCCCCTTACATGCTGGGTTTTAAGTTCTGAAACTACCTGAACTCGGGGTTCAGGGGATTAATTGATTACAACAAAAGCTGTGCCCTCTGAGCCTGGCTGCAGCCAAATAAAACTGTTTCCTGCTGTCTTCAGGCCCTACCTTGTCTGTCCCTACAATAGTCCTATATTCTAGATTGTTCTGCTTCAACCTATGCCCCACGTGTAGTGCCCCTTAAAGCTTCCTGTTGCCCATGTGGACAGTATTTGTTTTAGGCTTCCTGTGTCTTACCTCAGAGGAAACCATCTAGTTTTGGCCACTGGGGTCTGCACTCTCAACCTCGAATGCTTTCCTGCTAACCTGCCAGGACTGAGCTGTGGGGCCAGGGCAGCCCACTCCCTCCACTGAGGTTTCCCTGCTAAGCTACAGGGCAGTGCAATGCGGAGCTCTGGGAATGCAGGCACCCAGCAGGGTCTGGCCAGAGCCTGTGCACTGGACAGCAGACAGCGCCCCTTCCCAGAGCCAGGCTGCAGGCTCATGGCCTGCCCGCAGGACTGGAGACTCCCTCTTGGCCAAACGGGCCGCACAAGACACCTACTGATACTGATACCTGGGGGTCCTTGAATGTCCCAGGATGGCACGGCTAAAGCAGCAGCCTCAGCAAGGCACCACTGTGGATATTATATCAGATGTGGAAGCTGCTGCTCACAGAGACAAGTCTTGCCTGAAGCTGCACAGCCAGGAAGAGTGGGGTCCAGAACTGAGCTGGAGACGGGGCCCCTTCTCTGAACCTCCTCCCTGTCTTTGTAGGATAAGCATGGGGCAGCCCCACCCCTGCTTCCAGAGCTGAGCCCAGACTTCAGGAGGGTCTGAGGTGGGCCCAAAGGTTCAGTCCTGGAGGGTTGTAGGCATGGTGACAGCCTGGGACAGCAGGCCACACACTGAGTCAGCGACTTTATTAATAGTCTCCGATGCTGGTGAACTGTGGTTCCTGACCACCTTCCCGGGAGCAGGCACCCATTCACCTGGGTCGCAGAGAGGTGCACCAGACCAAGGTGCCCCACCTGGCTGCTGGGTCTAGCCGGTCGGAACCTTCGCCCCTCCCTTTCCTGCCTCCATCTGGCCTGGGGACAAGACCCAGCCCTTTCCTCAGGGTCTCCTTCACCCCAGGAGCCCCGCCACTACTCCTTGCCCAGGCTCTTCTCTAGCGACTGGGATCCTGACTCTGCTCGGCGCAGGGAAAGGGTGGCAGGGGGAGGAAGGAGGAAACAGAGGAGGGCTACGAGAGAAGCGAGGCCCTTTACACAGGGGTAGGAGAGGCTGAAGGCTCGCCAAGGGAGGAAAGGAGGCAACAGTGAGGCTCAACTGGAAAGAAAGAGTGGGAAGGGAAAGGCGGGCTGGGGGAGGCGAAGGGAGGCCATGGGCAGTGTGAGGGCGGTGAGCTAGCTAGCTACCCAAGAGGCCAGGGTGGGAATGAGCCTCCACCCTCAGGGACCGGCGTGCCGGTCCCCTGTGCGCTAGCTGCCGCTCGGCCGTGAATACGCTGGTGGCGCAATACGTGCTCCCGGCGCCCGAAGCCCTTGCCACACTCCCAGCAGGCAAAGGGCCGCGCGCCCGAGTGCGTCTTGCGGTGGCGCACGAGGTGCTCACGCCAGTAGAAGGTCTTGCCGCACTCGCAGCATGCGTGTGGCTTCTCTCGCGCGGGCAGTGGGCGCAGGGCCGGGCCCGGGCCGCCAGGGTGCGTGCCGCGATGTCGCCGCAGGTGCTCCTTGCGCCGGAAGGCCTTGCCGCACTCGGGACAGGCGTGCGGCTTCTCACTGGAGTGGCTCTGCCGGTGGCGCTGCAGGTGGGCCGGCTTCAGGGGCGTCTTGCCGCACTCCGGGCAGGACGCGGCGCCTGGGGCTGCCAAGAAGACAGGTAGGCCGGGCGCTGGAGGTGCTGGCGGTGGGCTGCCCGGCTCCTGCTTGTAGGGGCGCACGGCCCGGGTGTCCCCTGCTGCTGGCGGCACCTCAGTCCCAGGCACTGCATCTCCTGCTGGAAAGGCGCAGGGTCAGGGGCCCGCTGTGGGCTGCGATCGGGGCGGGCGGGGCAGGCAGACTTAGTACCAGTGTCTGCGGGTCTGGACAAAGGCTGGCGCGCGGCCAGGCCTAGGTGAATACTCAGTGGACAGATGGACTGCGTGGGGGACACGGACGTGTGGGTGGGGAGGGGTGACAGGAGGAACACCGGTGGAATGACAGGTGGGGGAGGGAGGAACAAGCATACAGAGGGATAGGGCGAGTGCAGATGCCGCGCTGGGGTGGCCACACGATGAAGCGCAGCAGCGGCAGGAAGGTTCCAGGAAGACACGGCGGTGGCCGTCTGGCTGCGTGGAGATAGGATGGGAGGTGTGGGGTGACTGGAAACCAAGCCGGACACTCAGACGAGCGCCCATGCCTTCCTGCAGGTTCCCCATCTGCTTTGGTTTTCCTGTTTTACATTGTGAGCTTAGCTTGACCCTCCCGCCTGGTCTCCAGCACTGGTTCCACCTAGACCACCAGTCTCTTCCTCAGGTGGACGTCTTTGGCGGTCCCTTCTCCAAAGGGGCTGCACAATGGTGAGCCCTCCTTGCCCTAAAGACTGCACTCCCATCCAAGGCAGTAGGCCCAGAGCGTCACACCCTGACACTGACTGTCGGAGATGGGGCGGGCTCCACTGGAGGGGACCTGCTGAGGACTGGGTGCACAGGCTCAGGAATGGGCTGCCAGCACTGCTCTCCAGACAGCCCTTTCTAGCACCTACTATCAGTAGCCACAAAACACAGAGAGCAAGACCTTCTCTCCAGGGGCTGCTGAGGGCTTTGGACAGAGGCAGCACTCACTGCAGCACCGACTGCTCCTGTGGCCTGCCCTCCTCAGTCTGACGCCATCTACCGCCAGCTCCCCAAGGGCAGAGACATGCCAGAGTCATCTCTGGTTCTGGTGCCTCGGCCCGTCACTGAACAAGTGGATGACAGCAGGGGCCAGGGGAGAGAAGGGACCCCTAGTGCTGGGGGCCAGGAGAATGTAGGGAAGAGCCACTGCTCACCTAAAGGCACCATCCCTCTATCTTCCTTTCCGACACTGACCCCGGAGCCTTCTGTCGTGTCCTGAGATACCCTCACTGCTGTTGAATGATTTGGGGAGGTGGCTGGTCCCTGAAACGAGAGATACCACATTCCAAATTGAGAGACCGGGTCGCAGCCTGTACCTCCCTTCCCTCACCCACTTCAACCAGTCATCGGACTGGTTTGCTCCAGGCAAACCCAAAGCTGTGCTGGAGAAGCTCCCCTGGCCTCTGGAAACCAGTGTCAGGGAGCTGTCTGGGAGGTGTGTCCTCCGCCCTGTCAACCCTTACTCAGGCCACCTGTCCGGCCACTCTCACATTGATGACCCACACAAACTGGGCTTCAGTGTCTCTTTAAGCTCCTAAACTTGGGGTGATTTTTTCCATAGCATCAGATAACTAATTCACACACCTGTTGTAAATCTCACTGTGGCTTCTTGCTGTCCTTTAGATAAACTGCAGAACCTATAAGCTACTTTTAACTCAGGAAAAAAAAAAAAATGAAGTGAGTTCAGAACCAGGGCTTCTCTCAGCACAAATGGTGGATAGCTTCTGAGTAGATGGTACCAGCCAAGAGCCCAAAGGCCAAAGAAAAGCTTTGGATTGTCTGTTTTTAGGTCCTTTGCGCCATGGTGGCCATTCCTCAAACCCTTGCCCCAGATGACTGTAGTTCTTCTGGGCTGGTGGAGTTGGCCCAGGACCACACACACCACACCCCTTCACTTGAACTCTGCTTGGAACATGAGCCTCTCCCACCTGAATCACCAGTCCCTGGGGACACTGGCCATGCTGATGCCCCACTCTGGGAGGACTCCAGCCTTTCCTGGAAATGCCTCGTGTTGGGAGACGGGGACTAACTCCTGACCACTCAAGCAGCTCCAGTGGTTATGGGCTGCTGACCATCCCTTGGAGATGGCTCTGGTCTTTGCCACACGCTCTAGCTCCACCCTGCTCAGGCCCATCCTTGAACCCTAGATTCAGGTCACAAAGTCGGAGCTTTAAGGAGGTTTCCTCAGGATGAATATCTGTGCGTCTGATTAAACCCGGCTTGCCTTCAACACGCCAGTTTACCAGGTGCTGGCTCACATCCTATTTGGGACTCTTGTGTCTTTTTTCCTTGAGATGGGCCTACACCTTGCTTTTCCTGGGCTGTCCTTGTGTGGCTAGGCCAGTTGGGGGGAGGTTTGGCAGCCTTGCACAATGGGCTGGGTGCGGTCCCACCTTGTCCGTGTTTTCAAATAGTTTATAAAAGACACGATGAGCCATTTGTTGGAAGGGCTGGCAGCACAGAACTGCTGGGGCCTGATGCTTTTTTTTTGTACTGGGGATTAAACCACTGAGTACATCTCTGGCACATTTTATTTTTTGAGACAGGGTCTCACTAAGTTCTCAAGGCTGGCCTGGAACTTGCAATCCTCCTGACTTAGCCTCTCAAGACACTGGGATTACAGGAGCGCACCACCACAGGGGAAGCTGCCTTGACACCTTTTGTGGAGGTCTTTGATAAATATCTGCTTCACCTCCTCTGGCTTTTGGACTGCAGATGTGCTGCTTCCTCATGAGCACAATTTCCCAGGAATCGTGCACTTCCTCTGGGTGCATAGAGCTGTTCTCTCCCCCGCTCTGTCCTCACCAACTTGCTGATGGTCTGTCACAACTTTATTCTTCCCGAGTACAAGCCTGGGGCTTTCTGGTCACACACCTTTGCTTCTCACTACCTCCTGCCTGACCTGTGGACCCAGGATCCCCTCCTTTCCTTTCCTCTTCTGCGCTTCTGTAGTGCTCCAGGGCTCTGCCCGAGGCCCCTCCCCCAACCCCCTGCTTCCTGGCCACCCACCAGTCTTCCTCTGGGTTGGGTAGGCTGCCTAGAGCCCTGCCCCCAAGTCTCAAAATAATCCTCTTTAGCTATTGTGTGCTGAGACCAGCTGCTGGGTGACTACAAACAAGTCATCTGAGCTCTCTGGGCAGATCAGATTCTCTCTCAACAGAAGTGGGGAAAGCAGATTATGCTGGGGCTTCCCCATGTCAAACTGTGTACTTCCAGGAAGCGCAAAGATTATTCATTCCCCCAAAGCAAGCATTTTCTTAGTAACTACTACGTGCCAGGGACACATCAGTGAACAAGATGAGGCTCCTATCTGAGAAAGGCTGAATCTACAATCTGGCTAGGGCTGAACATGCCATCAAAAAAATAAAATTAAAGGGTCTGGGGATGTGGCTCAGTGGTAAAGTGCCTGAGTTCCATCCCCAGTACCATTAAAAAAAGAAAGAAAAAAAGTAATGCACTAGGGTACAGTTCAGTGATAGAGCACTTGCAGTAACATGGGTGAGGTCCTGGGTTAGAGCCCCAGCCACACACACACACAAATTAGCAAATTCATCAAGGCCAGCATCTTAGTGAGGGGCTCCCTCCATCCTCTAGAACCTGCAAGGCTAATAAGCAAAGCCCCTGGGGCCAGGGAAGGCTACCGGTTCCCACACTTAGATTCCCCCAGCATACTCCCTCCCTTCCCCAAATGGGAGGGATTTTTCTGCTAGATACACAAATGCAAGTTAAAAGCAACAGTAATTACTATGACTTTACCATCTTACCTAAAAGGACATTTTAATGCCCAAGGAGGCAATTGAATGAGCCAAAAGCAGTAACAGCAACTGGCCACCAAGGGGTGTTTCTGTGCAGGGTTGTTCTGAGTTTGTTCACTCCCCCCACAAGGTGGACATGCACTCCCACCTTGCCGTAGACTAAGTCAGGGCTCAGAGAGAGAGCTATTCACCTGCAGTCTTGAGGCTACCACCAGGTGGGAACATCTCCAGGGCCCTTGGAGATGTTCTCTTGCCAGTGGTTGCCAACCCCAGTGGTAAACAAATCGTGAGGAGCTTTTTTAAAAATGTGAAATTCTAATACCGACAAAGGACTTATATCCATAATATACCAACAATGCTCAACACTCACCAGCAAGAAAACAAACGGCCAGTTCAGAAGCCAGCAAAAGACTCTGCTGTGGGCTGAGCGCCTTGCCCCAACTCCCCAGCTGGGAGCCTCACCCCCAGGAGGTAGTGCCAGCAAGGTACGAGGTTGTGAAGGTAGCTCTCCGGAGTGAACAGAAGAGGCCAGAGTCTCCTGGCCCCTCCTGCCTTTGGAGGATGCAGAGAAAAGGTGCCATCAGGAACCAAGAAAGGGGCCTTCACCAAACCCACCACTGTCTTTGACCTCAGCCTTCTGCATCCAGAACTGTGATGGCTTTCTGCAGTTTATGAGCTGCCTGGCCTTGACACTTGGTTACAGGGCCCAAATGGATACATGAAAACCAGAAAGCACCTCCAACAGAAACCTACACTGGAGGTCACAGCAGCTGATTCCCAAAGACAATGGGAAACTGGAAGCCCACCTGCTTGAGTGGAGAAGTGGAGACACATCTAACATGGTCCAGGTCACAGCATGCCAGGGTGGCCTTAAAGACACTCTGCAGAGTGGGAAGCCGCCTGGAAGGCTGTGCACCCCAGGATTCCCTTAACTCGGAGCAGATGCTTCTCTGCTGGGCTGACGCAGGGGTGAGGGAGTGCGGAGACAGCAGAGCTGGCCAAAGGGAGTTCTTTGGGGTGCTGGGATAGTCTGATTGTGGTGGTTATGAAATGTCACGCATCAAATGCATCAGTGCATCAACTCAGATCTATCATTTTGCAGTTTTGGAGCCAGAAGTTCAGAATGGGTCTCTGGGCTAAAATCAAGGTGCTAGCAGGGACGCCTTCCTTCTGGAGTCTCCAGGGCCAAATATATTCTGGTGGCTTTTCCAGCTCCCAGAGGCTGCAAAGGGAGGAAGCCAGGCCCAGGAGCTGTGTGTAAGCCACGTGCCACTGGTGGTCTGTTACAGCACCCAATCCAGAACACGGTGACCCAGAAAGGGTGAGGAGAAGGCCTGAGCAGCCAGTGGGTGAGCATGGGGTGGCCACAGGGTGGAAGAGGTAAGTGTGGCCCAGAGGAAGAGAAGAGAGCCTGAAAGGCCAGGCTAGAGAAGGGAGCCAGAGGCGGTGGCTGGAGTGGGAGGTGGAGGTCACTTGGAAGAGCAAGAGGACATCCAACTCCCCTGCACCCAAATTTTGCTCAGAGACCTGGAGATGCTGCCCTTCCCTCTGCTATGCCCCAGTCCCCTGGGGATGAACTGCCACTGTTCTTCCCAACGCCTCACCCCACTGCTGCTCCCCTTGACTGCACCACACCTACAAGCACGCCTATCTGCTCCAGCTTCTCCTCACCAGCCCCACATGGTGGCTGAGGCCACATGCTGAAAGGAAAATGCCTTAGACCCTGGGTATTAAAACCAAACTTGCCTGTCTCCTTTTTCCTCTTTTAATGTGGCTGCTAGAACACTTGGGAAGACGTGTGGCTCACATTCTATCTCCCCAGGACAGCATGGCTCTAAACCAGGGTAGACAAGCTTCCTCTGCAAAGGCCCAGATGGTCAAGGTTTTTGGCCTGGCGGGCCACCAGGCTTGGCCCAGTGCTGTGAAAGGCTAGAAGGCCAGTTTTGTCGCTGTGGCTCCAGACCACACAGAAGTAAGAGCCACGGCTGTGCACCAACAAGACTTCTAGAAAAAGGGGTTATGTCTGCAAATCCCTGTAAGGAATTTAACCTTGCCCTAAGAGCAGGCTAGTCCTTGGCCTTGGCCTCTGGGAAGTCATCCCTGAGCCCTCAAGGCCTGGCCAGCCAGAACACAACAAGGGATTTAGAGTGGGACCTGGAGCCACACAGCGGCAGCTGACTTCCAGGCAGGGCAGAGACGGAGACGGGCCCCAGTAAACACCAGCTTGGCCAGGCCCCTGGCTGATGGTGCTGTGTGCGCTGCCACGCACTGCCACAGGGCAGGCAGCCCTGTACAGGACCCCATGGGTGGACAGAGGGGATGTGTAAGACCCTTCCAGAACAGCATGTCTCCCTACACACAGCAGCTCTCAGGAGCCCTGAGAGTCCTTCCAGCAAGCACCACAGTAACTGAGGGCCTGGGTCCTACTGGGCGGCAGGTGTTGAAAGGAGAGTGGCTCCTGTGCCCTCTTCCTGCCAGATGTTCTCTGAACTTCACCCGTGTCTGCTTTGCAGCATCTGCACTTGGGCTGCACCTTGGTTGTGTGTTCCGAGTGTGTGCAGTCTCCCCCATGCCCTGAGGGCTGGCATCCTCTGCAGTGCAGAGCGGGCTGTTAAGGAAGTCCTCCCCGGCCCCGAGGAGATGGTGGCCAGGGAACCTGTTGCGCAGCCCCGCCCCCTGCCAGCTCACCCAGAGCTCCTCCAGCAGGGCCACGGCCTCCTCCCCGCTCTGGGGCCTTCGACTGCACACCCAGGCCTGGGTGTCCGCGGGGAGGGCACTCAGGAACTGCTCTAGCACCAGCAGTTCCAGCATCTGCTCCTTGGTGTGCACCTCCGGCTGCAGCCAGTCCCGGCACAGGGCACGGAGCAGCCCCAGTGCCTCTCGCGGCCCTGGCGCATCGCCCAGGTGGAAGTGGCGGAAGCGATGCCACGGGGAGTCCAGGGTCAGGGCCTCGGCCATCCCGCCCTCCTGCTTCACTGGCAGCTGCTGGGGCACAGGGACCTCCATGGGGCCTTCTGGGTTGGGGGTGGCAGCACCTGTGGGGAGGGGAATTTTGAAAGTGAGGACCCAGCTCCATCCCCCTAGAGACCACTGCCTTCCCCTGTGCCCAAGGGGACCGCAGGGCCCAGACAGGTCTGAGGCCGGGCAGCATCCTGGCTCCACTGCCCTCTCTGACCTCAGTTTCCTCCCTTGTCAGATGCAGTACTTGCCTGTCTCTCCTGGCCACGGGTAGGACAGGTCAATCGAGGTCCCTGTGAGGTGCTGTGCTGAAGAAGGGGTGATTGTGACTCCTCCTGGGAACAGATGGATTCAAATCCTGGCCCTGGCCCTGCTCCTCCCTGGGGGCAGCCCTGGGTACTGCTGTACCTCAGGCTCCTCCAAGCTTCTCCAACAGCTTCAAGGTGAGGATTAAAAACATGTACAGGGCTTATAAGGAGGCCTCAAGAGCAAGCACCACCCACCCTCTTCCTCCTAAATAGCCAGGGGCTGATCTTCGGCCCTAGGACTACCCACGTGTCTGTGTCTCCTCCAGCTTTTGGGAGGGAGCAGGTTAAGTGAGATAAGGGGAGCAGTGGGATAGGACTATGACCTTGTAAGAGACTGGTTCCTCTCTGCCATGCAAGGACAGTGAGGTGGCCTCTGCAATAAGAGGCCTCACCTGCCCCCCACCCCCAGCTGCACTCTGACCTCAGCCTCCAGCCTCATAAACAGATTCAGTTCAGGAAGCTGTAAAAAAGCATCACAGGGGGCTGGAGTTGTGGCTGACATGCATGAGGAACTGCACATAAACAGCACTGCATATAAACAAATAAACAAAGTCTATGGACAACTAAAAATATATATTAAAAAAAAAAGGACCAGACTGGGTGGCCTGGACAACACAGAGACGCTTACTTCTAAGGCTGGAGTCTAAGGGGAGGTACAGCACCGGGGCTGCTCAGGCCATGTCCGGCTGCAGAGGCTGCCCTGCGTCTTGTGGTGGGCAGGGGAAGGGAACTCGCGTCTTTCCTTGAGGAGCACTGATCCCTCTCATTCCTGAAGGCAGAGGTGGACAAGGCTACGGCTGCGGAATGGGTGATGCTACCAGAGGGGACACTTAGCAAGGTCTGCAAACAGGTCTGTCAGTGCACAGAGAGAGCCCCGCACTGCTGGCCTCAGTGGGCCCTGGCCAGAGGTACTGGTCAGCATCCTACAGTGCACAGGACAAGCCTCCAGTCAGAACCATCTGCCCTCACATGTCAGCAGTGCCAAGGATGAGAAACTCTGGACAGGGGTCATGGTCCTGGGTTGTCTGGAGACCTCTGAGAGCCTTCCAGGGGTACTATGGTTCAGTACTGTTCTCATGACACTAGGAAAGTGATCTGCTTCCGGCTTCTTGTTACACTGAAGCCAGGACACCCTGACAGGCCAGGCCCTCTGTGGCTCACAGCTGAGAGTTGCTAACTGATCCGTGATCATGAGATGAAGAATTCATCTGCTGTGTGCTGGCTCCACGTTGGGCATGAACCATCTGGCAGAGGCCTCCCTCCTCTGGTGCAGCACTCCTTCCCTGTTCTCTATACTCCAGCCACATAGGCTCCCTCCTATGCCCACTCAAGGTAGCTCCCACTCCAGGGCCTATGCCTGGCTCCTCCTCTCTGCCATGCACCTGCTGTCTTCTCCCTGGATGGCTCTTCTGCCCATGGTCACACTCAGCTGAAACCATCTCCTCACTGGGGCCTCGATGCCCCTCTGGAGATGCTCCCAGACCATGCACCCTGCTGTGGCATCCATGTGCATTTCTCCATTGCCTCCCTATTACTAGTTTTCTTTTAGTATTTAATAAGATGTGGCATTAACCATATTGCTGTTCCATCTTCCTTCACTAGAGTTTAAGCTCCAAGAAGGCAAGACACCATATATTCCAGGCCCAGCATTCTGGTGGGCACTCAGAAATTTTATAGGATGACCAATCCCACGGGGCTGGTGTCATCACCCCTTCATGCAGATGAGAAAGTACAGCTTGCTGAAACACCAGCTAGTAAGTGGAAGAACCTGAATTCACCCCACTTCTGCAGGGCTCAAATCTAGGCTGCAGCATCCCCTCCACCCACCCAGGTCTGATGGGCTTGGAAGCCAACAAGGAAGGCATCCAGAAAACCAGGGCCAGTGCCAAGCCTCAAAAGCCTCACAGAAACCTGTTCTGCCATGGAAAGACCCTTGTGCACTGGAGAGGGACTCTGAGCCAATGGGAGTGAGGTCCAGGCATCTGGCTGACCTGATTTATAAGCCTGGGTTGCAGAGAGTAAACTGCTTGGGACAGGGAGGACTTTTTGCTAGGACCTGAGGTCACTCAGTTCAGGAATACGTACTAAATAATGAGTATGATTATTTACCCTGTAGGTCAACCTGTCCCTCAAGGAGTACTCTCTGCCATCTGCATGAAGGCAGCTGTGACCCTGTTGTCTGGCAGGCTGGTTGTGCCACAGGGTTCATCCCAGAGCCACATACCCTGGATACCTAAGGAATGACATCTGCCTTACACTGCAACACCTTCCAACAGCCCTGAGCTAGGATCCCACTGTACAGAGAAATGTACACCAAAGGAGTGATGGAACTGAACCCAGATCTGACTCCAGGGCTCACGCCAGTCATACCCAGCATCATGGTGCAGCATCCACACAGGCTGGACTCATGTCACGGTTAAGAGCCAGGCTCTGGAGCATGGCTGGCTCACTAGACTTCTAGCTCTGCCACTCATCATCATCAACTTGGCCATGTGACTTGCCTTCTCTAAGCTTATCAGCTCCACCTTTAATTAATACAGGACCAATAGTAGCCCCTGCTCCTCAAGTAGAAGCATGGATTAGACACGGTACAGCATAGATCAAATGTCCCATAAAGGCCTGCTGGCCCCTGAGACTCACAACCTCAGCATTAATGGCATCTGGGACTGGACAATTTCTGTGTCACAGGAGGCTGTCCTGTGCAGTGCAGATGTTTAGCAGTATCCTTGGCCTCGTTCCATTACATGCTAGTAGCACTTTCTAGGTGTGACAACCTCAAACATCTCCAGTTATCGTTGGCTGTTCCTGGGGCGACAAAACCATGCCTGGCTAAGAAGCCACTCACCCACAGGCCAAATATTTACTCAGAGCAAAAGAACTCTGAAGCAAATTCCGGCTCTGCCACCTACCGTCCAGCGTCCTTGGACAAAGTACAAGGACACGTTTTACACACAGAATCTCCATCTCCTGGGCCGTAAAATAGGGACAAAAATAATAAAACTAGCCCAAGAGCCGCAGTGAGAAATAATATAAGGAAAATAAAAATGCGGAGAAGAGCACCTTGCAAGATGTCTAGGTGCTCAAGTTAGCATTTAGTCTTATGATTGTCCAAAGTCCCTTGCGAGATGCTACGGGAAACAAGCACACAGATTGAAACACACTTATAAACTGCAATAGGCATCAAAACAGGACTTAGGAGTGGCCCCACCCTAACCGGGCGGCCCCTCCAGACGGCCGGCCACCTCCAAGCCCACAGGATGAATTCTGTGGCAGGCGCCCTTGACCCAGAAATAAAGGAACAGGGCCGCGATCCTCACCCGCGGGAATCCCAGCGCCGTGGGGCGCAGGTACGCGGAAAACAGCGCGCACGCCAGGCCGCCGCTCGCCACCCGCCTCGGGTCCCTCCCCGAACTCCGCGCGCACCTTCCCGAAGGGGCGGCTCCCTCGTGGGGTCGCGCTCGGCCGCCTCCCTCCCCACGGCCCACCCCGGACAGCCCTCCGCCCCCGACACCGCCCGCTCCCGCCCCGGGCCGCGCCCCAGAAGCGCCTAGTCCCCGGTCCACCGCCCCCAGCCCTCCTCCTCTCCCCTCGCTCACCTCACTCCCGGCGCGGCCCCCCAAGCCCCTCACCCTCCCGCACATGCGCACAGAGCTCACCGGACTCCATGCCCCGGCAGGCTTTGCGCCAACTCACCCGGCTCCCCCTTCCCCTCAACACCCACACCCCGAGTTGCCCGTTCCGCCCAACAACTCCCCTCCTCCAGAGCCGCTCTGGGACTACGCTTCCCAGGGGGCATCGCGCCAAAGGCGGCTGCCCATTGGTCCTCGCTGCGCCCCGCGTCTCCACCAGCGCTAGAACTACATTTCCCAAGATGCATCGGAGCGCGGCCTGCGCCCAATAGACTACCGCGAACGCAAACTGAGTGCTGCGGCCTTCGGACTACGTTTCCCCGAATTCATGCGGGGGCTTCCTATTAGCCAGCGCGCCAGCCTCGAAAGAAGAGGCGGAGCCATGGCGGCGGCGTCGCGGAGACGAAGTGAGGGCTGGCACTTCTCCTCACTCCGGAGAAGCGCCTCCGGGACCCAGGAGCCTCGGCGGGCAGGAGGCGAGTCCGGCCCGGGCTCTCCGTCCTGCCGCAGCCGCCGCCTCGGCCGCAGGTTGTGAGAAGCCCCGCACCTCTAGTACCTCTGAAGACCCCTGCAGGGACAGGGAGGCAGGTACCTAGCAAGCATCCGTCAGAAGGCAGCTGGTTACAGTGCTCACCGGATTCGTGGATGCACAGGTGTCACGGCGGTTAACTGGCGGGCAGAGGACCTTACCCCGGCCTACCCACCGTGGCCTACTGCCCTGCCCCACCTGTAAGGCCCCCCTCTGCCTGCCTAACGTGTTGTTGTCATCCAAGCCTCTTCTGCTCCTAGAACCCCGGTCTCGTTTTCCTGTGTTATCTAATGGCCTACTTCACACCTCCACTTGGATTCCTAGGCCCCGCCCATCCCAGACTCTCCCTCCCTGCCTGCCAGGATTTCTTAAAAGGCATCTCTGACATAAAATGGGCAGTCGAGAATGTTTCACTACTTTCCTTTCCCGAGAAGAAACTGGTTTCTTTCTGCTACACCATCTTAAACGTGTCCATCATTCATCCAAATGTTCAGGCCAAAAATGGCAGGGTGGACCTTGAGTCTCCTCTTCCACCATTCCTACACAAGCGAAGGGTGGTCTTTGAGTCTCTTTTTCCATGCCAGTCGCCCATACACATCTATTCTAACAGCAGGTCCTGTTGACTCTGCCTTCAGAATAGTCAGGACTATGATGGAATGCTATTTAGTCTTGAAATGCGATTTAGTCAGAGCTGTCCACAGCTCTCCCGTCCACTGCTAACCTGGTCCAAGTTGCTTTGCCCCCTCTGAACATTGACCTGCTTGCTCTCTGGCCTCCTGCACCCAGTTCCTTCTGCAGATCACAGCCAGAGGGATTTTTTTTTTCTTTTTTCTTAATGGTAAAATTTACATAGCATGAAACTTGCTTTATTGACCCATTTTTTTATTGTACCTTTTGGTGGCATTTAAGTACATTTAGATTGTTATACAAAACCATCCACCTCCAGAACTTCTTTATTTTGCAAAATTGAATCTGCATCCATTAAACAATAGCTTTCTATTCACTCTCCCCAGCCTCTGGCACCCACCATCCATTTTTGTTATTGTTGGACTGGGAATTGAGCCCAGGGCCTCACACATGGGAGGTAAGTGCTCTGCTACTGAGTACACCCCCAGCCCCTAACATCATCATCATCATATTGTTTGTGTTGAGGTTGGAATTCAGGAACTCATGTATGCCTAGGCAAGTGGTCTACTGCTGAGCACTTGCTTAAGCCCCACCATCCTACTCTGTCTCTGTGGATCTGACTATTCTAGGTACCTTATATAAGTGAAATTATGAACTTTTGGTACTTTTGTGGCTGGCTTATTTCACTGAGCACAGTGTCCTCCAGGTTAGTTTATGTAGCATGTGTCAGGATTTCCTTCCTTTTCAAGACTAAATAGCATTCCATCATATAGACATATAACATTTTGTTGCTCTGTTTTAGTTTTTTGTTTCCACTCCTATGGGAAGTGGGGCTCTGCCGTGTTTGCAGCCCTTCAGGGTGCACCTTTGACCCTGGTATGCACAGTGATCCACGTGATCTGAGCCCTCAGATCCAGCGTCCTCTGTCCACACAGGGTCAGGCACTCCTCAGAAGCTGCAGGCCTGAGCCAGGGCACAGGGCACAGGCTTGGCAAGTGGATTGGGAGGGATGGTTCAGCCACCACCTCCAGCCTGGCCGGGTGTGTGTGGGTCGGGTCCTTGGTTCACAGAGGCCTTCAGCCCAGCACCCCTTCCCTCCTCCTCACTGTGCACTGTGCGTCAGCACACTGGCCACTTTGTGTTCCTCTAACACAGGTTCTCCAAGTCCAGTCCCCAAGCCAGCTGCACAGCAACACCTGGGACGCAAATTTTTGGCCCCTACCTCTGGTTTACTGAATCAGAAGCTGCTGGTGGGCCTGGTGGCTTGTTTTCAGGAGCCTGGGGGTTGGGGTTCTGGTGCATGCTGGTGGGCCCCTTATGTCCTACCTGCAGGCTAGAGGAAGTACCACTTACTTGGTCGTGTTCTTGTGCAGAGTACCTAGGACTTCCAGGTGGAGCAAAGATCCTAAAAACACCTTCGATTCTTGCTTTATCTACACTAAAGTTCTGTACCCAAGCCAGAGCAGTTGAACGCCCACTCCCCACCCCCTGAATGTGGCAAAACCAGCCAATTCCACCACAAAATGTTGTCTCCCCTTCATTCAGTTCACATGGATTGGGCACCTTCTGTGAGACACTGTGCAGGCTTGGAGGACAAGGGGTGGAAGAGGCAAACGGAATCTGTGCTCCCCCCAAGTTGAGGGCATACATGGGAGGAACATGTGAGAGCTGGGCTTGAAACTCCACCTAACACCCCCCAAATGTGAGACCTGGGCCACTCACCAGTGCTCCATGGAGATGGCGATACAGGACTGCTCAGAGTTGGGGTGGGGGTTAGTAAGGGCCGGGTCTTTACTGGCCTAAGCCAATCAGGACCTTCCCCTCCTTGACCGTTATTGGTGGAGGCCCAGGTGTCTGACTGGAGAGATGTGGGGGCTGTTTTGCCCCCACCCCAGCGGTGGGGGAACTTGCAGAATGGTTTTCCCAGCTCTCAAGAGGCGAGAGGAGGAAACAGCTGTCCTGTGACCTCATCCTGTGTGTGGGTGATGCTTTAAACTCTGGCAACTGTCTGGGTGTCGTGAGGATGATGGTTGGAGCTCCCAACTAGGACAGGCAGGAGGGGAGAAGGAAGAGCTGGGTCCTTCATGATGCGGTAAACAGCTAGATCGACCAGCCGAGGCTGGAGCTCCTCCATCCCCTCCTCTTGACACCAAGCAAGTCACCTCAAGCCACACTGGGCTTATCTCTCCTTGGAACTGGAAGTGTCAGCCAGTCACATATCTGGGGCAGGCTTCTTGGGGTTGCACCCTGCACACCATGTGATGCCCTGAAGTTGGTCTTGGGGTTCTTGATCAGCAGGGGAGTCTGCCCTGGGCCCTGCTCCTGTGCATGTCTGTGCAGTGTCTGAACTCCACGTTCAGGCCAGGTGTCCTTAGTTCAGGTTCCTGGATAGGAGGGCCTGATCTCATTTACCTGGGCAGATGGTCCTTATCTCATATCACTTGTGATGTACCCTGAGTGCACCATAGACACTGGCAGGGAGCAGGAGGGAGCCATGACTCAGTGGACTTCCTTCCTCCCTTGTACATCCTGCATCCCGCAGTGACCATTTCAGATGTCTCCTGCTTCTGGAAGTCTTGCCAGACCACCCCCACCTCAGTACGCCTGCACAAAGTTCTCCACTGAGCCTCCCCAAGGACACCCACCCCATGCTTCATGCAGCAAAGACCAGCTGTCGCCTGCCCAGGCCTTGCTTCAGCTTGGCACCTGTGTGCAATGAGGGAAGCGGGTCTCACCCGGCTTCCCAGCCCCCGGGGTGAGAATTCCTTTGGCAGCAAATTTAGCTCCTACCCCCCTAAAGCAGCCTGGTTCCTTTGTAGCATGCCTGTAATTATTACTCAAAACAATAATTAACGTTTTCTGTCTGTATGGTGCTTTGAAGCCACAAGGTCCTCCAGGGCAAGGATGGGGTTCAGTTCATTGCTGGGTCTGCAGCCTCTGGCGCCAGGAGGCTCAGGTTGTTATTGGACAGATGGATGATGGGTGAGTAAGCGAGCCGCGGAGAGCCCAGGAAGGAGAAGCCTAAGTGAACAGCACCCGTCCATGCAGCTCTGTGCCCCATGGCGGGGCCTCCAGGGACTGACTTGGAGTGTGAATCATTTTGGGATCCCTGGGCCCCAGGAAATGTTTGAGAATGGATAATTAAATTAATAAATGAATTGCTTAATGATGGGAACACGCTGCCCATTATCTCTGCCCGCACGCTCACCTGCTCACCTGTGGGAGACGGCACCTCAGACACCAGCACATTCCGCCTTGAGGATGAGAGG